CAAGCCTTTCTCATAGTTGTCCCTCAAAAAATGGTACCTAACATCTATGTGCTTAGTTCTCTTATGATGAACCGAGTTCTTTGTCATACTAATAGCACTAGTGTTATCACAAAAATAGGGATGCAACCAATATCAATTCCAAAGTTCAACAATTGCTGTTTGATCCACAGCAATTGAGTACAACATGAAGCAGCAGCAACATACTCCGCTTCAGTAATAGATAAGGCCATTGAATTTTTCCTTTTGGTAGCCCATGACACAAGACATGAACCAAGAAAGTGTGCCATACCTGAGGTGCTCTTCTTGTCCACAAGGAAACCTGCATAGTCAGCATCAGCATATCCCACTAGGTTAAAGTTACTACCTTTTGGATACCAAAGACAGAGGTCAATAGTGCCTTTCAAGTATCTCAATATTCTCTTGACAGCAGTCAAGTAGGATTCTTTTGGATTTGCTTGAAATTGAACACAAAGACCTATACTGAAAACAATGTCAGGTCTGCTAGTAGTAAGATACAAAAGAGAACCAATCATTCCCTTATACAACTTCTAATCAACAGATGAACCAGGTTTATCTATATCCAATTTCGTGGATATTGCAATAGGAGTGTCAATTTCTTTGGATGTTCCTTCCTGGTTTTGTTACTGAGGAATAGGTTCATGGACATGTTCCCTCGAGGTTTCAGGATCAGTTCCTCTCTAGTCAGTTCCCCCTGTCATGTTGCCCTAGGTGGAAGGACCTGTTCCATTACATGTTCCTTCCTGTGATGCATCTTCAGGCTGGATTGTGGTTTCACCATTTGAATTTGTTATCAGCCCAATCTCTTCATTATCTTATTCTTGCCTCTCAGAAAGAATGTTAGTTTTTAAAAAAAATAACATATACATTTTTTACACACATAGTTCTTTTACTATATATCTTATAAGCTTTACTATGTGAAGAATATCTCAAGAATACTCCCTCATTACTTCTGGTTTCATACTTACCTAGGGAGTCTTTGCCATTATTGTGCATAAAGCACCTGCATCTAAATGTCCTAAGATGGGGTATATTTAGCTTTCTCCCTTTAAGTGACTCATAGGGAATCTTCTTAACAAAGGGTCTAGTCATGCAACTATTTATGATGTAGCATGCAGTGTTCACAGCTTCTGCCGAGAAGCTATGAGGCAATTTACTAGCAAGTAGCATAGTCCTAGCCATTTCCTCTAATGTCCTATACTTTCTTTAAACTACTCCATTTTGTTGTGGAGTCCTAGGAGCAGAAAAATTATGATCTATGCCATGCTCATCACAAAATTCAGCAAACTTAGCATTTTTAAATTCAGTTCCATGATCAGACCTTATTCATGCAAGTTGATTACTTAGTTGTTTTTGAGTTTTTCTAACAAAAGAAGTAAACATGTCAAATGCTTCATCTTTAGATGTTAAAAACAATGTCCAAGTAAACCTAGAGTAATCATCAACAAGCACCATAACATATCTCTTACCACCTCTGCTCAGAGTTCTTATTGGTCCACAAAGACCATATGGACCAGTTCCATCGTTCTGGTGGTACTTACCATTTTCTTGCTTTTGAAAGAGGATCTTACATGCTTCCCCCTTGCACAAGCCTCACAAACTTTGTCTTCCTTGAACTTAACATTAGGCAGTCCTATCACCAAGTCCTTGGAGACTAGTTTGTTGAGTTGACTTAAACTGGCATGTCCAAGTCTTTTGTGCCAAAGGAGGGGATCATTATCCAACACACTTAAACAAGTGAGTTCATTTTCTGAAAGAGTAGACATATCTACAAAGTATATATTGTTTACTCTTTTTCCCTGCAAAATAATCTTGTCAGTGGTAAGATTTATCATAAAACATTTGGTAGAGGTGAATGCTATCAAGTTACCTCTATCACACAATTGTGATACACTAATTAGGCTGTATTTTAGGCCATCTATCAAGTAGACATTCTCAATAGAGTGAGAATCAGTCTTACCTACCTTTCCAACCCCAATAATCTCACATTTCTTCCCATTTCCAAAGGAGACATTACCTCCTTTGAGGTCCTCAAGTGAAAGGAACTGGTTCTTGCTACCTGTCATATACTTTGAGCAACCACTATCCATGTACCATATTTGGTTGCTCCCCTTCACTTGGACCCACAAAAGGAAATCAGGGGTTAGTCTTAGGAACCCAAACTAGTTTGGGTCCTTTCTATTGGCAAAAGGATGAATCAAATTCTTTTTGACCCATCCTAGCAGCCTACTTTTCCCTTGAACAAATATTTTATTCTTTTGACTAGCCTTTTCTTTTGCATTACATTCACTATTATAGTGACCAGTCTTACTACAATGTGTGCAGATTTTGTTCTCAGGAAGTGTGATGTACTTGCTTTTGGGACCCCACTTAGGTGCAGGGGTCCCGTAGCCAAGTCCTCTCTTGTTGCTACTATGGTGTTCTTGTAGCCATGAAAGTGCATCAGAGGACTTATTCCATTTACCAGTTCTGTCTAGCTCATGCTTAAACCTTGCTTAGATCTTCTTTTAGGACTCTTATCTGCTCATCTCTTTTGTACAACTCATCTTTCATTTTTCCTAGATTTTCTTCTAAGGTGAGATGTGTGTGATCAGCTTTCTTTTTACCTGTTCCAAATTTCAGTTTTAATTTTTCAGATCTAAGCTCTAGCACAGTGGTGTCAAGTTCAAGAACTTGGTTCTTCAACTCAGCATTTTTACTATCACTTTCACTAGCCCTAAGTTCCAGATGTTTGCACTTAGCTTTCAAAACCACACACTCCTTAGATAGCTGTTCCTTTTCATTATTTAGATCCTCAGATTAATCAATGAAATCCAGGAGTAACTCAGATAGCCTTTCTTTAGACAAAAATTTAATCTTGTCTTTGAGATGAATTATACTTACTTCAGATTCCTCATCGGTTTCTCCAATTGCCATAAGTGCTTGTTCATCTCCATCTTTATCCTCTGAGTCCTCATCTGAGCTTTCTCTCCAGGCAGCAACCATAGCCTTTGTTGATCCTTTTTGTTCTTCTTCGGTTGAACTTGTTCCTTCTTCTTATTCCTTCGTTCAGCTCTTTCCTTCTTCCATTCAATTTCTCATTGAGGGCAGTTTTTGATGTGGTGATCAGTCTTCCCACACTTATAACACCCCCTCATTGGTTTGTTTTTCAGGAACCCTTGGTTTGCTGTAGCTTCCACTTCTTGAAGGACCATTTCCTCTTATTAGGTACTTCTTGAAGTCCTTTGTGATCATGGTCATTTCATCCTCCTCTAGATCAGCACCTTCAGTGATTCGGAGTGCCAGGCTACTTTCCTTCTTGGGTGCATCCATCTTCATGGTTTGCCTTCTAAATTCATAGGCAGTGAGATTTCCAATTAGCTCATCCAACTTAAGAGTGGCAATGTTCTTTGATTCCTGAATAGCAGTGAATTTGCTTTCCCAAAGGACTGGCAGAACCCTTGTCAAAATCTTCTCAACTTTGTCTTGTTCAAGAATAACCTTTCCAAGAGACTTAAGTTCATTTGTCAGTGTGGTGAACCTTGTATACATCTCCTGGATGGTTTCTCCTTCCTTCATAGTGAAATTCTCATATTGAGAATACAACAGTGTTCCTCTGGACCTCTTCACTTGAGGTGTTCCTTCATGAGCCACTTGCAAAGTGTCCCAAATTTCTTTAGTAGTGGTATAACTTTGAATTCTGCTATACTCATCTCGACCAAGTCCACACACAAGCCACTTCTTGGCCTTAGCATTCTTCTCCCACTTTCTCAAATCTTCAGCAGTGCAATCAGCTCTTGTCTTTGGCACGTCTACTCCTTCATCATTCTTCTTCATGGTGGCCAAGGGACCATAAGTAACAATGTCCCATAACTCGTAGTCTTCATCAATTATATGGTCTCTCATTTTGTTCTTCCACTAGGAGTAGTACTGGCCATTGAAGAGTGAAGGCCTAGCAGTTGATTGTCCTTCCCAGTTCCCAGGTGGTGTACTCATCTTGATCTTTTCCTAAGATGTTAGCCTCTTCAAAGATAATCTGCTCGGATATCAATTGATACTTTATACTTCAATGCCACACAAGAGTGGGTGATTTGTGTGGTGTCCAATTTTTTGCTTAGACTGATTATGGCAAGACCTGGTTCTTCTATCTGTTCCTTAAGTTGCTGTTGCGGAATAATAAATGCAGAAAGTAAATAACACAAATATTTTTACGCGAAAAACACCTGGCTCAAAAGGTGAAAAAACCACGACCCACTACTCAGTAAGATTTTCCCCAACACTACACTAAATTACTAAGTCAAAACAGCATTTACAAAACTCTTTGTTAACCTAAGGATTACCTCTGATCTCGTTGTAGCACACAGCCTCTAACTATTGCGACAACTTCAAGTTAACTCTAATTTAAATACTCTGAGTACCTATTACAATTGCCTCTAGATAAAGTTGAAAGGTACAATATGAAAACACCTACTATAATTGAACTAGAAATAAAGAAAGACACATAAAACTCTTTATGGAGCTGATTCTTCAATCTGGTTCATGTAACTTCAGGTTTGCACACTTGAATCACACACAAACTGCTTGCAAAAAGCATTGCTATTTTGCTCTCAGTTCACGTTTAACTTCTGCGTTTTTGTGCAATCCCTATAATGTGAGAACATCCTGCAATTTATAGAGTTAGTAAATAAAGAAATAACTAGAGTTCTGATGCAACTCTTCCTTGATGGAAGAGTTCTAATTGATTTCAACTTCTAACTCCTTCCCTATCTTGGATAATGTTCTCTTTGATTAAAGAGTCCTTCTCCTTGTCAATTATGCAACCTTTTCGATCAGGAGATACTAAATACACCAATTTAAGCTTATTTCCTTCATGTGCATCCCACATGCTCGAATCTGTCCGTTTCTATGCACACAGGGGATGGACCTGGAGGGATGAACCTGGTTCATGCCTGAGTTCCTTTGTCAGTCTTCAAAACTAACATTTACTTGGGCCAACAGTAAGAGCGCAACATAAACAAGCTCACCACTCATTTGCCTATCTGCAAAAATAATTAGAAACATATAAACTATTATCTGCAAAAATAGTTAAAAACATACAGTTCGTTGTGGCATGTTAATGATTTATGATTTTATCTATTGACTTGTTTTAAATTTCTATTATGCAGCTGCCTCGTGGTACCTTTGGATATCGGTTGGTGAAGAAAGTCAATAAATAGCCGAATGCCTGGATATTTATGGGCTCTGATGATGATGCCATGTCTCCAAGCTTTGCAATTTCAGCAGACAGTTTAAGGAAGTCTTTTGATCCTTTCAACTCAGTTCTAAGAGCTTCCAAATCACCACCACAGAAGACCTCAGTCTGAACCTGCTAGAAGATATGAGAGAGAGATGAGTGTTGACACCTAATTTTATCCTTCTTTTGTTGTTATTCATTTCCTTGAGTTTTTAAATTATTACTCCCTCCGTTTCAATTTAAATGATACATTTTCCTTATTCGTCCGTTCCAAAAAAAAATGATACATTTCTATATTTGAAAATATTTTAACTTTATCCTTTTCATTTTACCAATTTTACCTTTATTGAGAAACTTTTATAACCACACAAATGTCATAGCCCACAAAGCTTTTACCCCTTAAGCTTTGAGGAACACATATTTCAAAAGTCTTTTTTTTCCTTAAACTTTGTGTCAAGTCAAACTACATCATCTAAATTGAAACAGAGGGAGTATTAATTGATTACTATTATTAGTATTATATCCAACCAATAAATATCTACTTAATATGATTATTGTATAATATGGTTGTAAGAATTATTTGGATCCAAACTCGAAGCCCAAAGAAATACAAGGAACAAGAAAGGATTTAAAATCCAAAATCTCACTAGGATTGGCACATTTAATTAAAATCCAAAATCTCACAGAATTGGCACATTTAATTGACCATACGCGAACTAGGATTGACCCAAAGAGTAAATTAAAACCTTTTCACAACGGCCCAATAAGGTGGCGGCCTTATTCACATTTCTCTTCTTCCGGGTGGCATTAACCACAAACCGCCCCACACACACAAAAAAAACAATACACACAGAGCACACGCATCACAAAAATGCCACACAGACGCACGCACGCCTCATACATATAAAACATTGACAAAACGCCCCCTCGGCCATGCGTCCATGATGGAAGCAGAAGCAACTTCTAAAGAAAGTATGCTTTCACCTTATTCGAACACTTCATCTGAAATTTATTACTATTAGTACACCTAAATAGTGATGCACAGAATTAGAAGCAAAGTCAAACTACGCAGCTGCAATGTGTCATCATAAGAACTAGTAGACAAGCATAACTTGGTTGTGCAGAATAACCCCATTACACATCAGAGTAAAGGGAAGATTCCAGATGCTGAATGATTTGATATTTTAAATTACAATAAGAGACCTAGAGGAAAGTAGACTAACCTCCATGTTTAAGAAAATCTTTTTGCAGAATAGTATCTCAATAGCCTGAAACAAAAAAGCAATACATCACTGTTAGAAAACCTGTCCCACGTGTAAGAATTTCGGGAAAAGTTTATAATGTATTGGATTACTCCATCCATTAAGGAACATCTGGGCAGAGTTTTTTCATATGGCATCAAAAGCCAAACACATTCTTGATACTAGGTTATAGATATTTAAGTGTATGATTTTATTTCATCAAAGATCCTCCTATCTTCAACTACTCGTGAGCGTCCTTATTCCACAGAAAAGTTAAATATCCCTTTCTTTTTTTTATTCCATTGCAACTAAGTTTAGTTATATAAATAAATAGTTCTATAAAAGACAGATTACTTGCACGAGCAAAATACAGATACTCTAGAAATCTCATGTAGTCAGTGTTGTCAAAGACGATAACCTCTAAAAAGCACTCTAGGTCAATTGGGGCTTTACGCGCAAAAAGAAATTTAAATGTGGGCTTTAGTTAAAAAAGGCGCAATGCAAGAAAAAAATAAAAATATATATGTAATTCAAGAGAAAAGTAACAATTCATTCACACTGTTTTCCTTAACAACTAATATACTTATTTGTCGGCTATATTTATAGTCTAGCATTGCTCCACGTAAGATAGAGTTCATGGGCGATAAGGGGCATGTCTTGGTGCCTTGCCTACACTGAAGCATAGCTTAAGAGAGAGGAAGCGCCCTCCTTGAACTTTTCTGAGCTTCAGGGCTTAAGCGCGCTATAAATAACCTTCAAGGAAGCAACAAGAGAAAATACTTCATCGACAAATGCATTCAGACAATAAATGAAATGTGAAAACATTGCCCCATACGCGAACAATCAAGAATTAACAGGTCAAAAACCTGATACCTCCTCATTAAACACAATGCTCTCTGCAGGTCAGCCATCCTACACTTTGCCAAGAAAGAACCATAGCAACATTATTAAATTCCAGATTCTATATTGCAAACCAAAATTCAAGGTGATTTAATTTTGCATTTCCATTATCCGGATTAATGTTGTATGCCGTCGCAGAAGTTATAGTACTCATACAAAGACTGATAAATGGATTGAGCTGGGAAGGGATCTAGTTGCATCTGTTTCTGCATCTGTGCTATTTGACAGTTAACACACCCTTTGATGGCCTAAATAAAGGATATGTAGAACTTGCTCTTTTTTTTTTCTTTTTTTCTTTTTTTGAAACTGGTAACTTTTAGAACGTGCTCTCTTTTCATAATGGAAATCCAAATACTCCGTAATGAATAAAAAGAAACGAAACAAGCAAGAATACTTGGATACGTGCTCAAACTTTCAAGTTAAAAAAAAATATACGGACATGGAACAATAAGGAAACGACTATCTTCTAGCCATTCAACTTCATCATCTTCGCCAAGAACATGTTCTGAAGCCTCACCTTGTTTGATCATCTATTGAGTCTAGGATGTCTAAATCTGGATTGTTCAAATGACATTTGTGTCACTTGTGTGAGCATTATCTAATAGCTTTAACAATAAAATGAGTTTGCAAGGTACATGTGAAATATGTAAAGAGACTTTTGTTGTTGAATTCTCCAAATATATGGATGAAAAAACCTCAGTTTCATAAGATGGCACACCTTGCAGGTTTCTTAAGTAGGTGTCCTACAGGATAAGGCACTGACATAATACAGAAGCATTTATGAAATCTAATGAATCAGAAGAATCTCCTACTAGCTACCGAAATTTTGATGAAGAAAAAACAATTATTTGCAAAAATTATCCACAAGCAAACGCCGCCTAACCATAAAATCATGCAATAATTTCAAACTTCTGCAATACTTGAATTTCGAAATTTCTGAAATGAATAGATACAACGGGACTAGATCAAACCGAAGCAAGCAACAGATATATGGCCCAAATGGACGATTGTCTTACCTCGTCAAGCCACTGAAGTGAAGAAGACGAACCGAAAAACCCAAACCGCAGTTCGATTTGTATCCTTCTTCTTCTTTTTTTCTTTTCGAATAAAAACCGGCACGGGCCCAACAAACATGGTCTTCTTTGGGTTTTCCAGTTGTCCCGTATGTATATTAGGAAAAAATGACACTTGGATCCCCTTTTAAAGGCTTAATGACCAAAATGTTCCTTTTTTTTAAAAGAAAAAAAAAAAGAGAAAACATGCTCCTTTTGAAGATTTTAAAACCAAGTTGCCTCTCCTTTCTATGCCTAGGCTTTACCAGTTTACCTAAAGTGCTTCTTCTTTTTTTAATAAAAGTGTATATGCGTTGCACGTGTTATTCTTGTTTACCCAAAAAACGGAACAGTTGAATTTGTTCGTGGTTTCTAGACAAGTAAATTAATTTGATCCAAAAAATAATGAAATAACTGATGAAATATAAAATACTTAGCCTTAAAATGTAAATGAAATAACATAGCTGATGAATCCGGGAACAAGGTATCTGGGCACAATAATGATGAGATCAAAAAGCAAGAAAGTAAAATTGTATTAAAATTCTGTATAGAATATAGTGTAAGTTAGCTAGAAAATTCGTGTCCTTTACAATGATACCTGAACTCTCTATTTATAGCAATGTCTAGGGAAGGAGGTCCTAGGAACATGCCCTTCTTTAATGTCAATTATGAGGGCCATAGATGAAGATGTAACGGTAGACATAAATGCCAAATTCCTTGTAACGGACCATCGCCCTTAATGCTGCAGAATATTCTCTATTAAATGTTACCGGACGCAAAGTATTTAATACTCCTTCTATGATTGTTATTCCTTCCGGCGATAAGCGGAATAGATGTGTTCGGTAGCCATCCGCATTTTGGGTTCCACGTGTCCTTCCTTTAAATGACCACGTGTCATGTCGTATTTTTCTCTATACAGATAGTTCCCTTGCTTTCCGGTGATACAATCTTGTGTTACCGGGAAGTTGGTAGAAATCCTCCTTTTGGCGGGAATTATTATAACTCCCTCTGTAGTCTTCTGACGGTTGATTAGACGCACGCCTCTCCGCATTTAATGCTCCGAACACGCGTCATTCCACGATTCAGCACAGCTTTTGCCGTTTATCGAGGTAATCATGGCCATGAATTTAGCCGCCAAAACTTTACTTATACGTATCATCTTTCTCTTATGCACTTCAAAATTTCTCTAACTTCTAACTTGCATCTTTGTTTCCCATCTTTTCTCTAATTCTCCTCGAACCAGGAATTTTTCTTTCTTCTATTCCAATGGCTTCCTCTTCAAAGCGTGCTAGTTCTTCAAAGGGCAAGAACAAAGTCGATGTTGTGATATGTGAGCGCCGTGTACGTGAGATGACGAGTGCGTACACGGGCTATTTATTGTAAAACCTGATATTTATTGAGTAATAACATGTTTCATCTTACTTGAATTAGACCAGCGTGTGTAGTTATCCTGTTTAGCTTAGTATAGCTTGTCTATGTGTCTTAAATGCTTATCTGAACTCTGTGCAGCATGCTTAGTGGATTTTCTGCTTCTCCATTAACTTGTACTTAGTCTAAACTGTAGGATTTTTGTTACACCCCATGTTTTTGTACGTGGAAGTATGCCATAAATAAATTGATATAAGCTCGGAAATCAGATGTTACATTCTGCATTTTCGTGCGTTAAAGTTTCGTCGTAAGTTAATCGACGTAAGTTCGGGAATGAGATTTATTTTGGGATTATAAGTATTATGCTATTTCAAACAAGTGATAAGTAAATTCGTGAAGGTGAGAGGGTAAGTGAATCGAAGAAAATAAGTTTCGTTGAAGTTTGGCAATTTGGGATAAAATACAGTCCGAGCTATAATACTCGTATTCATGAACTAATGCCATGCAAGGTACCACATGACCATGATATCAAGACATATAAAGTGTGTTAAAAGTGAGTAGTATTTTAAGTAAATTGAGATAATTCTTATTTATGTGGGTAATTGGTTAATTATTAGATTTGTGGATAAATATTTAAGTGAAATTTGTTGGATAATTATAAGGGAAAAACTATACACGTGGGGGTATGTAAGTGTGGCAACAACTTGCCAACTAATCGAGCCTAAAGGAGGTGGTGGTACAAAATAAATCAAACATGGATGTTGATGGACCAACTATTGTAAATAAATACATTTTCCAATAATGGAAGATTGGATGCATGAATTTATGCATCAAAAGGACTCCAGCAACGTTAAGGATTCTTCCAAATCAAAGTTAGAAAGAATCTTGCAATTAAAACCAGATCCACCAACGTCCAAGAATGCAAGTGAAGATGCAACGAGATTTTGCGATTCTAAGGGAGTACGGTGCAATCTTTATCAAGAATATCATACAGATTTTTTCCCTACTTTGATTCGCCGTTACATGCTTTCACAATTGACGTGTGTTGGGAGCATTTAGACACACAACATGTTGTCTAAATGCAGTCAAAATTCTAGGAATCAGTTTAAAACAATTGAATTTATTTAGTCCTATAGGCATGCTGTTCTAGGTGCTGAATATTATATTACAGAACTGATTTATACACACTTATCTCTATGACATCTAAGTGTTGGGATTGTTTTTAAATATTTTTTTATAAACGGGATAGTTATTGATGCAGACATGGTTTAAAGCGAACACGAATACAGTCCTAAGGCAGGATCTCTAATGCACAAAGAATGGACGTTTTTTATTAGGCGAAATTATAACATTAACTTAATAACAAGATTCCTAGATGATCATGATTATGCAGAAACAGAATTTGTAACAAATGAGATAGTGATACAAGTGATCCTAGAAGCATGCTTTCTGATGCAGGTAAACATAGTGTAAACCTAAAGCATGATTTCTAATGCAGGCGAGCATAGTATAGACCTAAAGCATGATTCCTAATGCAAGTAATGTAGACCTAGAAGCATGATTTCTACCCGATTTCCCCATAAAAATCATATAAGAATCCCTCCCTTTTACTAATTTCTCCAATATCTGTTTACAAAGATTATTATTACAGACCGACATTAATAATGAATTACAAAAGTGAAATTGCTACAACTATAGGGAGCCTGAATATAGGCCCAAAGGATAAAACCGGCAAACCAGGCTTTCAAACAATCTCAAATGCCACATCTCATAGTGCTAGGGGGGTATCTTAATGTGTCAAAGTTCCCAAGGGCATCAAAGACCCAGGGCAGTGCTCACACCAAGGCCCCCTTTAAAGATCAACAGCTTGTGCAGTGTGAAATAGCCAGTCCCAATGTGTCAAAGTTCAGAGGGTCTCTTGGACTCCAAAGCAATGCTCGCACTGGAGGGGCATGAACCTAGATGTTCTAAGAATTTGAAGTGGATAGTGATTTACAAGAGTAATTTTGAGTAAAGCAGTTTTAGCAAATAGAGCCATTCAATTCCTGGAACTTAGGCAAAGGTTCCAGCAAACAAACAGCATTTAGAAATTACTTAAGTTAGTTATTACTAAGTGATCAAACACAAGGCAAGGCATGCCAAGGATCAAACAGCCGCATGCAAAAGGGAAGCATGGATTGGGAGTAGTGAACATTTAGAACAGACAGGCTGGTGGGAGGTAATAGACATAGATCCAATTTAGACATGGCTAAACATGCAAATTTGCTGAAAAGTAGGAACCCATAATTCTAATTAAACGGAAGCAAACATGTTATTGTAGTAAACACATGTATATGGGAGCAGTAGGCATGCTAGTGCAATAAACACATAGATTGAACATCAATGAACATGCTAGGAAACACATAGTTAGACATGCTGTTGAACATACAGATTGAGCAGAAGTAACCACATAGACTAGACAGAAGCAATCATGTTAGTAAACACATGGATTATACAGAAGTAACATGCTTGGTAAACATATGGATTTAAATAGAAATATACAAGCTGATAGATACATGGATTCAAACAGAGATAAACATGCTGGAAAACACATGGATTTAAACAGAAGTAAACATGCTAATAAACACATAGGTTAATCGAATGGCAATAGTAGAGGCATACCAGTTATCGAGAAGGTTCAATTGGCCGAAATGAATTTCTAGATTCGCAGATTTGTCGATATCAAGTTCGTAAAAAGAACCAAATTCTTGTTGGCGATTATTTATGATCAAAAAAATGAGATTCTGTTGGGAAATCGCAATAAAAGAATGAAGTAAAGAGGATCCAAGATCTAGTCTTGGCTTCCAGCCGACTAGATAGTGCAGCAGAAAGTGGCAGTAGATTGCAATAGAGAGAGAGCAAGAATTTTTAAGTGTCAGTGTTGTGTGAACTATTGTTCGTATCTGTAAGGCAGAATGAGAGTGTGTATATATAGGAGTCAAATAATGTAAGTAAATAAGGCAAGGCAAATTAACATTGCAGAATAAGGTAAGGAAGTAATCAAATAATCAATCAAGCTTGACAAGGGACAGAAAATCATGGAATTATTCCCATAAATGACTCGAATTGAGTTGTAAACAAGGCAAGAAGTGGCTTTAACAGCCAATTAGGGTTAGAGCCCATAAATCAAGCAATCAAGCATACGAATAAGGCAATCATAGGTAATTAGAGACCAATCAGGGGTCAGTCAATCCATAATAGGCAAGATATACTAATTAGAGATCTCTGAATTAAGGTAAGTGAGCAGAAATCAGTAAAGAAACCCTAGATAATTTAGTTAATCAGTCAATTATTCAAATAATAACGAACGAAAATATTAAAGTTACACAATGAACAGCCAAGCAATCGAACCAGAAACATAACCACGTGAGAAAGATTAAACAAAACATAAGGATCTCAGAAAACTTTCTTGCAAAAGCAGAAGTGGAAACTTTAAATTTTTTTAGAAATACTTAGGGTTGATTAATAGTAGAAAGATCAGCGGAATCTTAAAGAAACAGTCATGGAAACTCAAAACTACTTCAAACACAGAGGTTCGACCAACAAATAATGAGAAAACCAAACCCTAATATAACAAAGTGCTTAAAAATCGGTTAATCAGTAAAGAAATAAGGGAACCTTAAGGAAAAATCAGTGACGAACTCAAAATCGCTTCAGATCTACAAGGATCTAGACAAATTCAAGTCCAAATATTAGGGTTCTGAAGAAAAAAGAAAGGGTAAAGAGAATCTGGTCTTGAATAAGAGATTTGAGCCGTAAAACATCGATAGAAAGCACTCACAGACCATAGACAGACTCTTGGAGAGTTTTGAACAAGATCTGGACTAGATCTCTTCGAGATCCTTCCATGAAATCACAAAATCGAGCAACCAGGGGAAGTAGGAGGCCCGTAGGGGTCTCAAACACCCATGGAAATCCATGGATCGAGTGAGAATCGGAGGGATTAGGGCTGGTTTTGGGTGGCGGCGGCTAGGGTTAGGGTTGGGTCTTAGAGAGAGACAGCGAGGAGAGGAGTTTTAGGGCGGCTGTTTTGTGTAAAATGAATTAGGGTTAGGGGTATTTGGGAGTTAAAAAAGGAAAGGAATGATACGGACCGTTAATCTTAAGGATCAACGGTCGCGATTGATCCTGGGGTTGGGGCGGGTTAGATTTAATTGGGCTAGGTCTGATTGGTTTGGGCCGGTTTCAATTGAGCTGGGACCGAATTTGGGCTGTTTAATTAGGCTAGGTCCGAAAAATAAAAGGGGTCATTTGTTAAATACCCATTTTAATTGATAAAAATAATTAACAGCTTACAAAAAAATGATTTTCATACCTAGAAATGTTTTAAAATAATTATTTAGTATTTAAAAAATATAAAAAACTATTTTCTGGTAGAATAATGCAATAATGCATGCATGGGCTATAATTGCAAAGTGATTGCAATTATATCCCCAAAAATGCAAATGTGGTTGTTTGTGCAACAGAAAAAAGTTAGTACAAATGCAAATTATATAACTAAGTCACAAAATTATTATAAAACTATTTGTGATGCAATTAGTAATTATTTATATAAATGAGAATACTAGGGATAAATTAATTAAAACCCTTAAAAAATGCCAAAATTATGGAGAAATATTAATTGATGCTAATGCATAGTTTTGGAAGTATATATGCATTCTGAAAAATATTATAAAAAATTGGGTATCAACAGGCGCCAAACTGTTTACCTTTAAAAATGAGTAGCAATTAAATTTGTATGCGGTTTAAATGACACGTGATTTAATTTAACACGAATGATCTAAAATCATCAAATAATTAAATTAAGAGA